ATCAAAGAGCCTTGGGATAGGTGCATCCTCCCCTTCTTCTCGTCTGCGAATAGCCACACGACATCTTTCACAAATTCCACAAGGGATTTGAAATTTTGAAAAATCAAGCTCAATTTTGAGGACTGTGCGAATTTTCTCCACTAAAAAACTTGTGATTTCTCGATTTGCCTTCTTCAAACATAGGAAACAAACACATTTTTGGTTTTCTTTATGAGTTTTAGCTTTGTTAGGCATTTTATCAAACTTTCAATGTGTCTTATTTGAAAAAAACTGAATGTGCACCCTTTTCCCGGAGTTAGCAAAATTGAAAAACAACCAAAAATAAATAATGATTTCAAAAAACCTGCTACAATTAGTTATATAATGTCTTAAATAGTACTCTAAGCAACGTAACAACAAAAATGCTGTAAAAATGCCAAATTCCTATCATCTCATTTAAATTTTGATATGTCAGAATCGAAGAAAATAAAAACTAAAATATCTCTCTCGGACGTCATAGTTCGATTTCCAAATTTATATCTAAGTGATCTACTATATGTGGGCTATCATCCCACCAAAGGGTTTTCTTGGGACATGAGGTTAAGGTTGATGGCCATTTCGTGACACTGTGAGCTCTAAATCAGTATTCTAAAGGTGAAAAAAAAGAAAAAGAAAATCAAACAATGCTACAAAAAGTTATGAGGTTTAAGTAATATATTTTTGATATATGGATTTGTTGAAAGAACTGTATTTAAAATTTTGTTTTTCTTTACTTAAATTGTTATAACTTTGTCAATTCTTATCAAGACGACTTCAACTTGGTATCAAATGTAAGGCGTAAGAGTGGGTTACAAATTTGTTATAGTCTTTAACAACAGGGTATATTCAGGAAAATTGAGTGGTACTAAACTACCATCTGTACTGTCAAAAAAGTTCTTTATTTTTTTAAATCTTGAGCTTATTTTAACAAATATTATAATTTTTATATACAAGAAGTTCTTATAAATTGCTTCAAGATTATTGCTAAATATAAGAGTGTATTTTTGAATTAGGGGTGATGGGTTAAGTTACCCTATTATCAAAGATGACCCATTAATATAAATATTTTTAACTTTATTAAAATGAGTGAATCAAATAAATTTCACTATTTTACTTTACCACACTACAACATATGCTAGTATTGTATATATTGATTTCAGGTGAAATCAACATATATAATTTTTTCAGGATGTATGTCTCCTCTTTTTCCTTCCTCCCCTTTTCTATCCCCCCTGCCTCCTTTCTCTCCCTCCTCCCCCTTCTTACTTTCATAATCTTATAAAAATGTATGAAATTTTCAAATAAGATTTTAATAAAGTTTGTTTAAAATTATTGTTTAAAATGTGAGAAATAGTATAAATTTTTTTTTTACCACATTGCAAGACGTAATAAAATATCTATATTTACAGTAAAGGGAGCATTTTAACCTCCTCCCCTTGTTAATCTGAAAAAAACAACAAAAAACTAGATAATATTTTGAAATGAAAAATGTAATTAATTTGTCATGGCTTTACGTAAATAATTAAAAATTTAAGTTAATTAAAAAATATTGATAATCATTGTCACAATAGACACAATCAGAATGTAAGCCTGAATTGTTTATCAATAAATTATGAGTCATATCACCTGTGGTTCGGTATTTCATGCCAAATCAGCCATGCCATATCACTTTTTATTATAAATGTAAATTTTCACATTATTTTTTATGTTTTTTGTCAAACAAACAAAAAAGCATTTAAAAAAAGATGTAAGTAAAAAAATACTCTATCTATCTAATAAAATCATTATTTAATGTTTCAATATTTTGTATAAATAATTTTTAAAAGTCACAATAATTTGTATTGTGGAAGATTACACTCTAAAGTTTTATTTAGGTTTAAAGTTCAATATAGAATTTAATGTAGGTACTTTTTTGCAAGTCACACCACTTGGTGTACCTATTTTATAAGTAATACCGCTTGCTGCAGGGTAATTACATGTCAATTGATCCAGGCCATGTCACCATACATCTCAGATTTTGCTGTTTTTTATACAGTTGGAAGTACTTGTTAAAATAAGAATTCCTGTTAAATTTCAGCTTCTAGCTCCAAGACTGAAATATGACCATTTTACTTTTACCAAATATTGACCCAAGTCTCTCTTGTCCCTTCAGAATTTAGAGGTTTTATTTAGAGGTTTCAAGTCACACAACTTTAAAATGATTTGATCTTTTTGCTTAAAAATTTGTACCTGGCTATTTTCAGGAGCAACAAATACAATAAAATAATGCGAAATGTAAAATATTATTATTAATTTAAATAAATTTAGTCAATTTTTTATATAATTGTTTTTAATGCTAAAAAAACCCATTTGGTTTTGATGATATCAAAAAAAAATTTTTTTATTTATTCTATATTTACTGACCTTTCAAAAAACATAAAGATTTCGATCTGCAAGTATATAAATTTTCATATATAGATAACAGGGTACAGTCCCTACTTTTTTGTAGCGGATTATTGTGATTGAATTTCTGCTACCTTCCAGACTAGCTGGAGCTTGACTTTCTTTCAGCCTTAACTTTCAGCCATAACTTTCAGGATAGTTTCAATAAACTTGTATGTTAATATTGTTTCCAGGGCCCAAAACACTGGAAGGAGGCCAGTGCATTTACCCCACTTTTTTGTAGCGGAATCTTGTGATTTTTTATTATCTTCTAGACAAACTGGAGCTTTGTCTGGAAGATAACAAAAAATTACAACACTGGTTTTGTGTCTGAACTTTATACACAAAACCAGTGTCATGCTCATTATTTTCTGACATAGAGCAAAGTGATTTATCTTTGAGGTGATCATTTTCATTTCATAAATAGAGGGAAACAGGGTGTAATGTGCATTAACTTTGGCACCAATGGTAACTTTGGATCTTGAATCACAAATCTGTAGTTTTCTACAAAGTCATCTAAGACAATATTGCAGTCTTTCACCAACGTTTCTCTTTGTTGCCTTAGGTATCTTGCTTCACATTTTGCAATGTAGGAATGTTAACTTGTTTCTTGATAACATTGACTTGTATTCTTCAGTTGTTGTTGTCTGACAGATCAATGTTGTTCTGTCTGTTTTTCTGCCATTGATTAAATGACACCTCGTCATCATTGTCATTGTCAATTAGTTGTGCATATAGAAACTTGAATGAAACTACACCTGGATAATTCAGACATCAATAAACCATGCACCTGCTACTTGTCACATCAAAAACATTTTTTTTCATTACCCCTACCCTAATTGTCAATGATTGTTTTTATTACCAATACTCTATTTATCAATAATTTATTTCATTGTCACTACCCTATTTGTCAATAATTTATTTCAGATTTAATAAAATTTCTATTTCTAATTTTGTATTATTTTACTTATGTTTAAAAAGTTACTGACACTTTAACAGGTTGTTGTCACTTATTTACTACCTCAGGCTCGCTCAAGAGCTCCTTAGAACCCGAGGTGCAAAATAAAGCATGCTGTTAAATTAATGGTACAATTTAGAACTTTGCATTAGGAAGATAAAGAGTTTCGCTTATCTTTCAAGTAGTTGAGCACCATTAAAAGCAGATTTGCTCTTAACTTAATAAAAAATTTATTGACATTATAAAAAAAGCTAAATCTGAAACCATTTTGTTGTTATACAGACTCTGATTTGATCTGATTTGATGTTTGTTTTACAGTACTGCAACTTTGTTTTTCTGTATTTGGGTATAAAGTTACTGTAACAAAACGTTGGCTGATTTTCTAAGTAAATTTTTAAGAAAAATCACCCTTTTTTAAAACACACACACACAAAAAAAAATAAACAACATAAAAACAAAATTATTTCAACTGATAAAAATTTAAGTATTATTACAATCATGATCATTTAAAAAATATGCTTTATGAGCTTATAATAAACATACTATTTTTTGTTTGTAGCCCTTTACACAGGTGACAGGGGCTTAAAAAGGTCATAACAATTTTTAAAATGGAAAAATCTATTTAACAACCTTTTTTTTTTTTGGTTTATTAAATTATATATATAAAGTATAAAAAACTATTAAAGTTTGACGAATGATTACAAAAGTTAAACAAGATTATTAAAGGAATCTCAAAAAATTCTTATTGTAAATAAAAATTTGAAGAAGAACAATGAATATGGGAATCATCATGATGCAAGCTTGTTGGCAAGATGATGAATGATTTGAAAGTTTTTCTAAAACAGTCAGTCATGTATCAATAATTTTTTGTCAGTGTGTTTATCATATTGATTTGTTACCTGCATGAGTTTCATAATGATTCATTACCTGCACGAATAAAAATAAATTTCATGTGTTTTCTATAAGGCAACTTTCTATGTGTTTACTGTCACCAGATTAATTAAAATATGAAAACTATTAACTAATGGTGTTTTTTTATATTAATTAACTATTAATTAATATTAAATAAAAACTTTTTTTTCAATTTAAAAATGGTCTTTTTTGCATATAAAATCAGCATTGTTAACATGTTAACAATTCATTTTGCAACATTGTTAACATGTTAACAATGTTGCAAAAAACCAAATGATATTCATAAATGATGTGTTGTTGTAGGAAAATATATCTTGCCTTATTAGCCATCTTGGCCAAAGTTTCTTCATAACAATGTTTTGAAAAAAAACTAAATTTGCATTTCATAGAAATGGCTTATAATTCCTAGCATAAAGGCTAAAGAACTATTTAAATATTTTATTTTTTTCAAAAAGTAAAAAGTAGCCTTGACCTCACTAGGAGTTAAGTTGAATTTTATTTTCATTCATTACTTGAATAAAAGTAATTTATTAAAATTACAAGTAAAGTAAAATATATGTAGTTTGTTAATTAACTATTTTGTTACCATTAAACAATAGGATGTATTAAAAATCATATTTTTGCAAATAAGTTACCTTGATGTGTATAATTGTTTTTCATTGTTAACAATTATAGTAATTTTTTAATTTAGCTGTTAATCATAAAGAATTTGTAAAACCCTGTAATCCATGGCAACCTTCAATTGATACTGAAGATATGGAGGTTGACATCGATGATGAAGAGAAAGAGAAGTAAAACCATATCTTATTTTGTAAACATGTACAAATAATAAATGTTGTATAAATAAGTTATACATATTTTTATTTTTCTATGTGTATATATTCTTATTTTTCAATGTGTGTGTCTGTGTGTGTATATCTATAAAAATAACTTCTGAACATTATGTTGGTTTATACTTTATGAAGTTTGAATATTCTGTATACTCTTCTATTTGCCTTATTTATTGAGTTGTAATTAATGAAAGTAGTCTTTAAAATAAAGTGTTTACATTGTTTTGTAATTTAATTTTTTGGCATGAAAATATACCAAAAATTTCTTGATTTATATTTTTGATGACATTGTTTTGAAAATACAGGCTCCTGGCTCACTCACTTTTTTTACTGTAGTAAGTCGGAGTAGTTTGCATAATTGTAGTTATATACTATATTATGTTATTATTATTAGTGTCTTCTTTTATAGTTATAATAACATATGGTATAAAGAAAATGTACTGATCAAACCTTGTCAAAAAACCTTTTATTAAAAGTTTCCACTCATCTGTTGAGCTATGGGAATGGCGAAGGAAAAGGATAAAGCAGGAATTTAGACAGATCAGATGAAATATATTCATTTCCACTTGCGCTGATCAAATTTGTGTTACTTTAGCGTTCACTTATGACTAATAAAAGCTAAACAATAAAAATTACAGTTTTATCGACTCTCAGCTGAAAAACTTTATATTTGTTATCATTGTATTATTTAAAATTAAAAGAAGGCAAAATTATAAAAAAGTATTTGAGTCTGAAAATTATTTAGAGAAAGAAAAATAAAAGAAACATTCAGTTTATTTATATTATTATAGTGTATATATATATATATATATATATATATATATATATATATATATATATATATATATATATATATATCAATAAAGTCATATCAGACTTAAATATGACTTTAGATAAGTTAAGCTTCTCAAGAAGTCATTTAAAAGATTTAATAAAAGATGTATTGCAAATTTTAAATTATTTTACTTAATTTTAAAAATTACTGACAATTTAACAGGTCATTGTCAATTATTCACTACCCCAGGCTTAGTCAAGAGCTTTCTCTCTTCAGAACCCGAGGTGCAAAATAATGTATGTAGTTAAATTAATGGCACAATTCAGAATTTTGCATTGAGAAGATAAAGTGTTGCATTCATAATATAACCAAATTGATAAAATGAACATATATTATTTTGGTTCTATTATGAATTGTTATTGATAGCGTTTTTTATTGCTATAAATAAAGATATATGTTTTTACTTATTTTTGTTGAAATTTACTTGATTATATAAATAGCTACCTTCTACATTTAATAAAAGAGATATCTGCTTCCATGCTTCAACTTTTAAAGTTGTTTCTTTATATGAGAAAGTTGTAGTATTCCATAGAAACAGAAACCTCACTTCTTCCATCAAATGAGCTTCCAACTCGTTTGTTGGAGCACTTAGTATTCATAAAAAATCCATGTTTAATTAAAATAGTAAAAGTTTCATTAAATTGCAATTGTAAGTAACTATGTATGTTAATGATTTTCATTTTGCTTCGTAGTAAGCAATAAAAAATATATGCGAAATAACTTTTATATATTTACAGACATAGAGTTATAGAGAAATGAATGTTTATGACAAATTTAAATTTTGTTTTTTATTTTTCAAAAATTATAGAAAATATAATTAATAGAATATATCGAAAAATTTAAATTTTGTTTTTTATTTTTCAAAAACTATAGCAAGGTGACTTGCTAGTTGTTTTGCTGTTGGCCTTTTCATGGGAAAACTTGATTTTAAATCAACTTTTTTCAAGACAGATTTGATGGGAAAAACTAAGCAGTAGGAAAATTAAATTACAAACTGCAATGCTTAGGTGATTAATTTTTCTATTAATTTCTTGCTTCTGCAGCTAAATGCAGGAAACTGACTTTAAAGCCTTATCAAAGCAGAAATCTCTATTTTTTTGAATCTGAATTTAAAATTTATATAATGAGTTCTAAAAGCTAGCAACCCAATATTAAAAAAAATGTGGTTAAATTTTTTTACCTCTAGACTTAACATTCACCAACTAAAAGAATGTCATATAAAGAATACACCAGATTCAAAAAAAAATCCTGCAATTATAAATAAACACTGTAAAGATTCTACTAGACTTACATTGCGTGCCAGACGAAACCTTAATGAAGCTGAAGAATCAGATATTCAAAAAGGATTGTTTAATGTTAATGAAAAAAAATGTGAAAAGTCATCAGAAACAAAAGATTCAACAGTACAGGTATATATACGTTTTCTTCTGGCCTGGAGTAATTTATGTTTGTTTAAATTTTTAGTTAGATGATATTTCTTTTTTCTGCTTAATTCTTTGCTCATTTTTATATTAAAATTGATCGAATAATAAGGAAGTTATGAAATATACATAAAAACAAAAAATTGCTGCAGTTCTTAATTACTGACATTTACATCCATGTGTGAAAATTTACTGCTTACACAATATTTACTGCTTACACAATATTTTTTGGCAGTTTAGCTAGTTAGTGGTCTTATACTGCAACAACTCTAAGTGTTCTGGAAAGCTTAAAAGTAAAATTTTCTAAAGACTATTATGCTTTTTAACTTTTTACTACTATTTTTTTGCACTAAATTTAATGTAGAAAATTGCACCTATTTCACAACTGTTTTTTACTGTCATTTTTTTGGTGATGGTTAAATACTTAAGAAAAAAGTGCTCATTTAGATTAATTACTAATTACTAAGTAATTTAAACTATATTTTTCTGTCAAAAAACAAAAAAATTTATTGTGACTTTAGTTAGTGTTTAAAAAAGACATTTTCTCAAAAAAATTAGTTCTTAAAAAGCTTACAGCTATGCGAATGGAAAAAAAATTTACTGAAAAACAAAATCTATAAAAGTGTACTTTTTTGTGCTAAATGGGTTTTCTGACCATTGTGTTCCATCTAACTAGGTTCGGGATTTGAAAAACAAATTTAGCAAAACCTGTATTTTCACATGGTTTATTGTGAAGCATTCAAAAAGCTTGTAAGCCTAGCGTCATTTTAGCTATTTCATGCTAGAGCATGCAGCATATATTTTTCAATATATATATATATATATATATATATATATATATATATATATATATATATATATATATATATATATATATATATATATATATTGTTTTCAAGATATATATTGTTCTTTTAATAGGAACCGTTAGTAACTTCTGCAGGATCCACATCTAAAAATTCTAAAAATATTAATCAAGCTCTCTTTATTGTCATCCACGTGAGTAGAATAGAAATTGGTCTCTTCAAAGGACCAGCTCTTTCTCCAGTAAAAGTTTATGCTGAAAAAATTATGGTTCAAATGGATGATGAAGCTTCAAAAAAAAATGTATCTTTTAGAATTTCATGTAAAGCTATAAAATCTTTAGAGGTAAACACTTCATTAAAATTGAATGTTTGATTTTATCATTTGTGTATATAAAAAATGAAAATTAAAGGTGTATATAAACATATTTATATATACATATGTACAAATATACATTGATATTATACAGTTGTATGAAAAAAATGTATTAAAATAGGTGTATATATACAAAAGTGTAATAAAAAGGTGTGTATGTTACAAGTGTAAAAATCATCTAATAAAACAGTCTTGCATATTTAGTTGTGCATGAAACTTTACTATTAGCGGCATACTGAAATAAGCATCTTCAGGGGCTTCAGTACATACATTAACTGAGGGTTTAGGTTTGTGCAGGTACAATCTACATACTATGGACATGAATTATGGTAAAAAACTAATTATTGAATAAAATTATCATTTTAAGAATTAAGAAAATGCTTAAATTTTTTATTTATAACACCTTGATTAAGTGTTCAAACAACACTTAATCAAGGTATTGAAAATAAAAAATGATTTCAATTCCAAATTTTAATTAAGATAGTAATGCTTTTAGATAAGATAGAATGGATATTTAAGTAATATTAAAAACTTCAGGAACTATTACAAATAAATAATTTATAAATAATTTAGTATTTCTGAACTGTTACTATTGGGCTGAAAAAAAACAACAACCTGTTAAAAACAGTTTAGAAATGTTAAACTGTTATTTGTAAAAGTTCATGAAGGTTTTGATATTATTTAAATATCCAATTTTTTTTCCAGATGGATTTCAACTTCAATTAAAATTTGGGATTATTTATACTGTTTAAACAAACAATAAATTATAAAAGTATAAGTGCGTCATAAAAGTAAAAACACTATTATAATGTTATTATTTTTATAATGTTAGTTTGTGACTAAAGTTTTATTACTTTTGTAATTCTAAGTTTATTGTTTTGTTTTATTTTTTTCAACTTTATCGCTGACAAATTTAAGTTAATTCGCCCCATGAAAACAAAGTGCACGGTTTTAAACAAAAACTTTAAAGACCAGATATTTTTCCAGATATTGGAATTTGTGATTTCTAAATTCAAGCCTTGTATATATACTTTCATTTTTTTAAATGTCAATTCCCCTCTGAAGGTCAAAGATGTCACAACAGTCGAGGAGGCTACTTTAGTTGTGGTTACAACCCTCTCTCAACTCTATAAATCCGAAACATGAACCTTGACAATATATATATATGTGTGTGTGTGTGTGTGTGTGTGTGTGTGTGTGTGCGTGTATATATATATATATGTATATATATATAAATATAAATATATATGTGTGTGTATATATATATATATATATATATATATATATATATATATATATATATATATATATATATATATATATATATATATATATATATATATATATATATATATATATATATATATATATATATATATATATATATATATATATATATTCAGTTGATTTTTATAGGTTTCTTTAACAAACAAACCATTCATGATAAAGTTGGTTTCACCAGTTCAATATTTAACAGGAAAAACAAATGCAAGAAGATCGAAAAGCATTCCAGAAAATGGTAATTTTAATTACTGTCTAATTTTTTTAATTTCAACTTGAATTTTAAAAGTTTCAAAAATTGTTTCAATGAAAAAAACTTTATTTTGAAGTTTGAATAATTTGCAATGATTTGCACAAATAGTCTTTAGATTACTTTAGATATCCAGTTGTTGTTTGTTTGAATTTTTTGTATTTTAGTATGTATGTTGGTAACATATAATCTTATGAACCTTTCTGTTACATGTTTTTACATGTGGTTATAAGAATTAATTAAGATTGTTGAAAGAACTATTAAAGAGTTAAATACAGTTGAAATAGAACCACAAGAGCTGTGTAATGATAATTTTTAATCTATAATTTAATCTAGTTAAATGAAAGAATTAAATATTTTTTAATCTAATATTACAATCAAAACATATTAAATATTACTCTATACAAAATTATCACAGTATGGTAAGAGAGTTTCTGAATTTTTATGCACTTTTATTAAATATATTAAACAATAATAATTTTATTAAATATAAAACTTACTTAAGACTTCTAACCTGAAATAAATTTTAAAAACATTTTAAATTAGAACAAAGTTTTTAAGTTAAAGTATAGGGCAAAGTGCACTAATAATAGCCGGGTGTTATTAAGAGCGGAATTTGAGTACAATTTTATTACATTTACTTATTTAGCGGAGCATTTATCTGGTTGATGAATATAATTTTGTGTTTCTTAAATATATCTACATTTTGTTCAAACATTATTAAATGTTTCATTCAGTCTTGATTTTTAAGAAATCTTTTTTTTGTCAAAGTTTAAGTAAAATATTTTATACTGTCAGTAATAATATTTGGTTTTTTCAAGCAACTTTGAGATGCATTTAAAGCAATATTTTCAGCTACAGGTTTTTGGTGTATTTTGAGCTGTTGTGTTTTGTATTTTGAGATGTTGTGGCAGCAGGCTATATCAGTATGACATCATCATGCTCACCTAACACAGCAGTATAAAATATGTGTGTATATATATATATATATATATATATATATATATATATATATATATATATATATATATATATATATATATATATATATATATATATATATATATACATACATACATACATACATACATACACTATATGTTTGTATATAGACTATATTATAAACTATATTATAGTTAATACACGATAAATTAACTATTTTTACTAATATTACCTATGATATTACATAATAGATGTAAACATACTATGTGAATATGTAATACAAAATATAACATAGTATATATGTGTTATGTAATGTTTGTAAATATGTATTTTTATATTATATGTTTTTTTGTATATTTAATTTAATGCCCACTGACCATACCAATAAAGTTCTACCTAAGTCATATCTAATTACGTTTTATTTAACGATTGTACTTATGTATGTTATGTCTGTTAAATTGATGCATAGATATGTATGACAAGCATATTTTATGCTTGTATATGTATTTGTTTGTGACATCTGTATATGTTATTAGTTGAATATGCAGCAACAAAAGCTGCCCTTGGATTTGGATTCGGAAAAAAATAATTAAAAAAATATGCTTCAGATTTAGCCAAAAAAAAAAACAACTTAAAGTTTAAACGTTCAACTAATTCCGAAAAATGGTGGCGCTCATTTAATCAGCGACATACAAATTTAGTTTTGCAAAAGCCTGAAGGCACTTCATCAGTTCACCATCAATGCATGTCTGTACCAAAGGTAGCTAAATATTTCTATTCATTACATGAAATTTTGAGGGACACACATGCCCTTTAAAAGGGCATGTGTGCCTTCATTGATTTGAAATATGGATGAGTCTGGGCTACAGATGGATTTTAAACCTCCAAAAATAGTTGCTAAAAAAGGTACAAAACACCTTCAATCTCACACATCTGGAAAACGTGAAACTATAACCACGTTTTTCCAATTTTAAATGAAACCAATGTTCAGCCAAATTCTGTTCCAAATGAAACGACAGGACAGTCTAGTTTTTTTTCTAATGAAACTACTGATCACTATAATAAGATGCCAATTGAAGTGATTGTTCAGTCTAGACTAACACCACTTATTTTGTGTACAAAACATTCAGCTAATGATAGTGACAATGATATTTTGCCTTATCCAAAGATATATGCTACCAAGACGAAAGAAAATCGAAAAAAAGTTCAAAAATATTTTGTATTAACTTCTCAAAAAGTAATGCAATCTAAATTAAACAATGAGATTAAAAAAAAGAAAGCTGCTGCAGCTGAAGAGAAAAAATTGAAAGAGCAAAAAAAAAGAAGAAAATAAAGCACAACAAAAACAAGAGAAAGAGAATCAAAAGTTATTTAAAAGAGCTTATTCAGTTAAAAAGATAAAAGTCAGTTCAATTCCAAAGATATCGAAAGTCAACATCTCTTCAGATAATCAAAAAATCTTTACTGATGTACCAGAGAAAACAACTCTATTCATTGATAATAATATTAGTGAGGTCATTTAATAGATTATCAATAATACATTATCAAAACTCCACAATATATTATTTTAAAGTTATTGTCCATATATTGAAAATTGCATTATTATATGCAAGTTGAAATCTTGTAACAGCTATGTGCTGAAGCAATTTTTTATTTAAAATTTGCTCTATGCTTGATTTCATATAGAATTAATTAAAAAGTTTTGTTTTGTTAGACTGCCTTAATTTAATTATATATAAATACTGTTTAAGTTTTTTTATTATTATCAATCAAAATAATATTTTTAAGTAAAGTATAGAACATTTTACTTTTAAAAAAATAATCTGGATTTATAGGTATAAAGTAGATCTAAGTTCATTATTAAGCTTTATTCGTCTGTCAGGATAATACTTATCAATATATAAGCATTTTTAGATGGTCTACCCAGCCATTAATTTGTATACAATTAAAATCTCTGTTTAAATAGATTTTTCTCTAAATTAGGCAGGTTTTAAAACTAAAAAAAGTCCTTATATGGTGTAGGCATTAGTCATTAATAAAACAGTAAAAAAAAAAAAAAATCACTGTTACATTAAGGCTTCCTCCACAGCAATCTTA